CTTATCAAAGTAAAACAAACCTGTAGCATCTATGCTATGTATTTTATTGTTATTCTGTTCTGTTCTAATCTGTGTCTTGCCGTGCGTTATTTCCACTACGGTACGTGGATATGTTAATTCAGAACGGCTGGCAAGAGACGAAGAAAGGAAAGTTCTCTGCCATGGCACCAGTGATGCTAATGTTTTTGTCATCGTCTTTCAATCCAGGGTTGTACCTTTGGAGAATAAGAAATAATCGTAATGGTCCCAGTAATACAAACTTTCAAAATGTTAAGGAAAACGGTTTTTCTGTTGCGTTTTGATTGATATCAAATCGAGTTAATAGGGGTAATTACGGATGAAAACGACAAATATAAGCTTTGGTAAACTTACATCACTTTTTCTTACAGTATTAATTGTCTATGCATTGGCTTTCGTGAGTTAACTACAATAGGTTTTGAACAGATGAACCTAATGATAATTGCAAGGAAAAAGTCATGAATATTTAAAAATGTTATCAAGTAATGCTACTCATAAACAAATCTGAAAAGGAAAAGAAGAAATTAAGTTTTAATTTAATTTCATCTCAGTTTATTTAAACAGCTCTAAGGGGTCTTGAAAAGATAATAATTTCTTTCAACATGATGTCGATAAGTCAATACAAAAAAAACCAACTACTACAATAAAGAAAAAACACATGTCAAAAACTGAGTGTTTGTATTACTGTGGAGATGGGCTGATTTGAAAGATATCTGAAGCAAATCGATGAAAAGCGACTGGAAACACGCAAAATAATTGTTTATTTAAACGTAAGCAGTAATGAAACAGTGAGATTAATATTTAAGAGAGTGTCTCTGTAAGAGCGGTCCGGTCGATTTTGCTTGAGTCACGGATTTCGCTCGTTTCTCGTGTGTTGTAAGACATTCATGTACCTGTACTAAAACCACAATCAGTTTGATCGGATCTCTTTATTTTTCAGAGTTTTACTGAAATTAAATTTCACTCGAGCGAAGGCTTGTCGTGACACTTTTCAAGACTTTAATTTCATACAACTTTGGAGGACAATTTACAAAAAACTACGGAACTCAGCAAAAAACAAATACCACAGCCATGTATAATAACTTTATCTTATCTATCGAGGCGACTTTCGTAAACATCACGTATCAATCAAGGAAACAGGAAGACTTGAATGACACCTTATCGGTTCGCCTAAATCACACACGCCAAAACCGATCAAATTCAAGGTAAATTTTTGAAAAAGTGAGGCGTTCTTAACTGATCCAACTAACATAGCTAGGAAGTAGGTGCCATAGAAAAGGTAACTACAGAAAAAAACTTTGCAGCCCGACCTTTACGAGAACTTTATAACTCCGTGAACTTACCTAATTTTCGGCAACATGGGGATTGTATGTTTAACGAACAATTTAAAATTTTTCCGCTTGAATTGAAAGTAAAGTTCATTTGAATTGCTTTCGTATGTATTTCTGACGGTTTTAGATCTACCTGCTTGATTTATATCGGTTACGCTTCATGTTGACAAGTCCCTCAAAATGGCGGCCAAACTTGTAGATTACCGAAAATTAGGTAAGTTCACGGAGTTATAAAGTTCTCGTAAAGGTTCATAAGTCCTAGTTCCGTAGTTTTTTGTAAATTGTCCTCCAAAGTTGTATGAAATTAAAGTCTTGAAAAGTGTCACGACAAGCCTTCGCCCGAGTGAAATTTAATTTCCGTAAAACTCTGAAAAATAAAGAGATCCGATCAAACTGATTGTGGTTTTAGTATAGGTACATGAATGTCTTACAACACACGAGAAACGAGCGAAATCCGTGTCTAAAGCAAAATCGACCGGACCGCTCTTACTGAGATACTCTCTTAAAAACTTGCTGGAAAAATCATTTAAGCAGTTAGCTGCAGGAAGTCACCAGATTGTAAACGTGAAAAAAGTTCTTGTTCATCATTTTTGTCCCATAGGTTTAGCAAGAAATCTGATTGAGATTTTCACGTTTACTCCCCAAGCTACACCATGTTCAATAAGACTTCTTGCCATACATATATAGAGCAAAATTATACGTTCCTATGCTCTTCGGACGACCACAACGATATAAACCTCTATTCCCTTGACAATGCATTTGATATTTCAGCGGCAGCGGCAGTGACAGTTTTATCGCCCATTGCCGTGGTGAAGAATGGGTTGATTTTGGCGAAGATTTGGAGGAGGAACTTAACGAGAACTTCATTACATATTTTTCTAAATAGATTGGCAATGACTGACTTGTTGGGTGATCTAATCGGTGGGCCCCCCTCATGCTTTGAGGATATTTTTTTCCAGGACCTTGTCCTCATTTTCTATGACTATTTGTCCTCAGATCGTGAAGCTTTGTCTTTTTTGTCACCGTTACTATTGTTACCATGGCTTTGATGTCATTTGAAAGTTGAATGCAGATGTCTCGAAGATCCTTTAAGAAATCACTCCGTACATATTACTCTTTCCATTTCCAACCATTGTCCTTTTACTTTCATGTACAAAAGATCTAGCCTTTTTTAAAATATATTGTTAATAGGGATGAACTCAAAGATTGTAACGGTGTTTTCCTGGAACAATGCTCGCATATTTCAAAGTTTATCGAATTGTTCGCCGTCATTATAACCAAATTCGAGGCAGCGGAATTTTTCAGAACTTTGGTCAACCCGCAATTGACTGAACGAAGTGCAACAAACCTGTAGCGTCTATGCTATATTGTGTTGTGTTGTTATTCTCAATCTGTGTCTTGCCGTATTTTGTTTCCATTATGTTACGTAAACAAGTAAATTTACAAAGACTGGCAAGAGACGAAGAAACGATAGATCTCTGCTGCCATTACAGTGGTGCTAATGTTTTTGTCATCGTCTCTCAATCCTTTGAATGAGAAGAAGAATGAGAGATATCCGTTATGGTTTTGAACAACTATTCAGAAGGTTAAGTAAAACCGTTTCTGTTGTTTTTTTCATTGATTTTAAATCAAAATTTGATTTTAGTTAAGGTAGTTTCCGAAAAAGTGCATGAAAGTATTAATATTGTAGAGGTTTTCATTAAGTAACTTTCTTGATAATATAAGTTAGCCTTACAATTCAATTCAGATTCAAAGTTATACAGTAAATCGAATATAAAGTTTAATTAGGTTCTACATTTTGCCTCGGAAGGCTTAGCATAAATTTGAAAGAGCTGCTATTTGAAGTATTCTTAACATTCTGTTACATACGGCTTCTGGTTGGACCGTCTCAGTTACTGAAAAAAACTAATTTCGAACACCAATGTCAATAACTATCTCATCAAAATGAGGACATCGTGTGTTATTTGACTTACAGGATGATTATGTATACATTAATTTGTGTTAGGGATCTACAATACGCTTTGAATGTTTACTTATCTAAAGAAAAAAATGATTAAGACGGAAACAGCGTGAAGATGCAAAAGTTAAAGCAATATATCTGTTTGAAAGGCTGCACTTTATTTGATTACTTTCTAAGAAGTAACTGATGAAATATCGGCCCACCACTCGAAAAAAATTCAATGCAGATCGTCAATCTTCGAGGTTCATCCGACAACTACAAAAAAAAGACTTTTAATCTAACGTTCACTTCAAAATCTTCATTAAGCTGCGAATACAACGTTGTATAACTCAATATAATTTGCTGTTGTTAACTGAGTCGATAGTGTAAATTACCACCGTAAAGAGTTTCTAAGTCTAACGTTTCAAGCGTTAACCCTTCTCGAGAGCAAATGTATTACTCAGACCACAACTGGGAAAACAATGACAACTTTCGTTCGGTAGTTTCTTTTTGGAGGGCAATCGTTATGGCTATGTTATCACCCGTGGCTATGGTAGGAAACGCAATCATTTTGGCGACAATTTGGAGAAGAACTTTTCCACGAACAACGTTTCATATCCTTTTGAGTGGAATAGCATTAAGCGATCTTTGCACAGGACTCATTGCTCAGCCATGTTATGCAGCGAGCATTCTAATATCTCCAACAAAGCATTCTAATGTAAAGGATAATCCAAAGCTTGCTGCCATCTTGCATACCGTAGGCGAGGCAACTGCCAATTTCTTCGTCTCCGTTACCATTCTGACCATAACAGCGATGTCCATTGAGCGATGGCTGTACATGTCTCGAAGATCCTTCATCACATCCCGTCGTAGGTATTTCGCCCTAATTGTGGTGCTGTTCCTGCCTGTTCCCACCGTTGTAATTCTGGTTTTAATACACCAGAATTTCCGGTATAAAAAAATATATGAAGTAATTATAATCACACAATTTTCATTTTGCTATACAATCGTATTATTTGCTTATTACAAAGTTTATAAGATCATTCGACGTCATGAACAGCAGATTAAAGCCAGCGAAGTTTCAGCTCAAAGATTTGGTCAGAATGCAATAAATCTGGTAAAATACAAGAGATCCGTGGCCACCATGATGTATATTTTATTGCTCTTCTCTCTATGTTTCACACCATTTGCTGTGGCTGCTCCTGTCGATTCTAGCACACATTCGAAAGCTGGAATGGTAGCAGGGAGTGTGTCTGTTGTGCTTGTATTGCTCTCCTCTTCTCTCAGCCCAGTTTTGTACTTTTGGAGAATGAGGGATATTCGGAATAGTCTGAAGCAACTGTTAACAATACACAGATAGAAGAACAATTTAAATGACACGATTTTATTTCTATCATTCCTTTTCAACTACATTATGCTACAATTTGATGCTGCCACAAAAATTGTGTTTCCGCATATATATATAGTCCATCTGCCTGATTTAATGGCAGCGTTTATTAAAAGGTGCGAGAAAAACGTGAAGGGATTTGTAGATGATAAAGATTGTCCTAGTAACTGTATGAAAAGCATTAGGCATAGTTTATTCTGAGTTTTTTCGTTTCGTTATGTAATGAACACGAGGAACATAATGAAGAAAAACTACCATGATATTATTCAAAGTATTTACATGATGTTTCCTTATCTCTTAAAGCTAATTTGTAGAGTTATCCTGTAGAGTCATAGTAATGATAACAGTAAATATATAATCACAATGCCAAGGTACAAAATAAAATGAAACTGTTTCATTTAACAAAAACTCTGCCCTGATGGTGGTTCTTGCTTGGCATGATTTTTGGCGTTTCGTGAAGCTTGATATTTCTTACACAGCTTTGGAGAATGAAATGAAGGTTCTGTTTATATGAAAAGCTAAGTTTTATATGCACTTTGACTGGTTCATAGATACATATCATCTATTGGAAGGCAGACACCTAGCTGACACCACTATTTGCAATATTTTGCTTTGTCATCATACAAAACAAATAGCTTCCATTTTGCCGTTAGTCTGTACAGTACTAGATCACAGAACAAGTCAAAATGTGATTAGAACATCAGTGACATACTCGGCTATGTCTCGTCAGTGAACCACGTTTTTGTTCTAATCTCCTTTTGGAGTCATCAGTGGTTTATCACTTAACACGCCCACGGCACCAGGAATTCTAATGGTCATACATTCCACAGTAAGTTATTGAATTGAAGTTTAGTAATTGGACATGTTCAGCTGGCTTACGTTTCGTTTGGGTATTAGCGCATTGCTACAGTCCCAGATCCCTTGTATTGTGTTCAAGGAACTTGTCACAACCGAAAATGTCTCTAAAGCCTTTTCGAAAGGACTCATTAAATACCACGTAGACAAAAGGATTTACTGCACCGTTGAATATCTTCAACAAAATGGTAAAAGGAATCAGCCATATCGGTGCTTTCATCACTAGCTGCTCAGCAAATGGATGCAGCCACGAAAAAACAAATTGTGGCGCCCAACATATGAAAAAGATGACTATCACTGTAATCATCATAAATGTGACTCTTCGCGCTGTGCGATTTGCTATTCGCTGTTGCTGGGCGTTGATTTCTCCTGGGACCTTCCTCTTCCAGAGACGATAACTGATCAAGGGATAAAGAACTGACATTAACGTAAACGGCAGTAGAAAACATGACGCAAGTATCATGAAATTGGCATGGGACATCGTAACACTACACGTAGTGTTCCCAGACTGATTGGGTATTTCATCTATTTCCAACAAAGTACCAACTGGCAGCAGAAAGGACGTTGCCCATATGACCGGAATGGCTATTTTGGTCCATTTTGAACAAAGCTTGTGTTTCAAGGGTCGACTGACTGCCATGAAGCGATCTACTGTTATACCAACCAAGCTAAAAATACATGCAAGAAAGGAAACCAAAGCAATGTACAGGCTTGTTTTACATAACAAAATTCCAAATCTCCCGAGGGGCCAAACTGATGTAAAGAGCAAATATCTGATTAACATAACACCAGTGCATGTCGATATCACCAAATCTCCGCACGCCATGTTGAGTATCAGCAGATAAGTGGTAGACTTCATGTTTTGGCTTTTCCTAACAATGTGAATGACTGACGAGTTACCAATGAAGGAGAAAAGAAACAGCACACCCGCCAGGAACGAGAATGCTACTCTGGAACTGAGAGAATAGTCCAGTAACCCTTCTGGAAAAAAAGTATAGATATGAACATAATCAATTTTGGAATGATATGATTCTGAGATCTTATAAGATTTGAAATAAAGTTATCGAATGACGTTTTAAACTTTTCATCGAACGTTACTGGAAGTATTAATCTCTTCTCATACTGAGATACAATTTATGAGTCGACTTTGTCGCCGATCGAGCAAAGAAAGATCTTGATGATATTCTAAGGATCTCATGTGACATAAGTCAGTACAGCTTGAATCAGCAATGCCGAGAGTGATCTATGTGGTTGGAGAACTCTGGAATATTCTGATCCTGAAAGTACCTTAAATGCTTCTTGTTTTGTCCTAGATTAAAACTATCTTATAGTTACAAGAGTTATTGCTCATAGTTTTTTTCTCATTCTCTAGACATAATGACATTCACAGTGAAAACAGAGTCTAATTTTCCGCTCTAAACTTCACTCGATATTAGTCGTATGAATGATTTTCACAGAGTTCGATTAATATCTTCGATCTCTTATCCTTATCCCCTTAAAGCAGATATATTTACAAAGAAAATGAAATAATCAGTTCTCGTCCAAATTTTTTTTGCATTTCAAAGCTAAAACCGAACCAAATTACTTTCGCTTTACTCTGCTCCCAAATTTTTAGAGGAGAGTGACTCATCTAAGAGTATTATTTTTCACCGTACCCACTGTCGACGCACTTTTGTTGCTCATCCTCAATACCTTTTGTGTTTGCTTCTCCTGCTTGCAGAATTAGATATTTGTGGGCTTCTGTGTACTTATTTTTTTCCCTCGAATCCTTTGCTGTAATCAATATGCTTGCAAATTGACCCGGCGGGAGCTTTTAATTGACTTCAGGATCTATTGTTTGCCAAGTATGGTGTGATGTTGCATCTCAAACCATCTAATTTAAGCGACATCAAAACTGCGAAGGCAAGATTTACGTTGCATTCAGTTCTTTGGTAAAATAAAACAATGACGAAAATGATAGATTATCTTTGGAACTTGGGCTTTGTTTTAGAATGGTTTGAAGTTGAATGATTATCTGTCATGGTAAACTACACCACACTTAGTATAATCAAATGGTCTGTGAAGGTTTTATTCGAATACGGAAGCTTTTCTATAGACGTGTGTTTATTCATGATTAACATTTTTATTACCCCAGCAGAAGCTATCACCCCTGATATTACTGTTTGCCTTCCAGAAATATAATATTGAGACGCGTTTGTTTTAATGTTGGTGACTGACATCCAGCAGAGTTTTAAACTTATTCAATTATTCATTCACACAGAATCCTTTTGTAAGAAAAAATTATTTGCTTGGGGTAATTGGATCACGGCTCTGTGAAAAATTAATCCCAACATTATTTTGCATATGAAAGCAAAGTTGCACCTGTCTTCGATAGGCAAATGCATCCACACGCTACATATGATCTTTTTTTGTATTACAACCTGTTCCAGCCGTCCTACAATTACTGAGCAAAGTTTTAATTAATAAGTGGAGAAAAAGGAAGGCTTCTGTTTCTAGGCACAAGACATGAAACAGGCCTTAAATTTTTGGTCGGCTGATCAGTTGATGAGATATGAAGATAAGAGGCTATTGTATTGGGTGCTTATTCCGCGGCACTAAATCTTCCCGGCTGTCATGGATAACATAACCTCATTAAATAATTGTGAGTTTTCTTGAGTTGCTTTTGCTCGTCGACTGCGTTTTAGGACGGTCAATAATACATTCATATATGTGCAAACATGTTTTTATATTGTTAGGCAATAAAGAGAGGTGTCTTTAAAACTGTTTTCATTGGTAGATTCCCGTTGTCTCTAGCGCAAGACAAAGTAAGCAAAATCTTTGTTTCGAACAGGAATCGAACGTCAGATCTTCGGATCCGTGCTCTGTTACTGTACCAGTGACCGTTTGGAAACTCTTTGGTTAGCTAGAGTCATCACTAGGTTTATTCATGTTAGGCAACAGCTATTCCGGTTTTAAAATTGATCATCGGCAGATCATGGACCTGGCGGGAATAACTTATTTAATTGCTTCTGCCAAACAGCTGCTTAAGGCCAGTACGAATATCTCTCATCCTCCAAACGTACAGTCCTGGGTTGAGTGTAGAAGACAAAAATAAAAGCACCATTGACACTTTCTCAGCAACGAAGGCTCTTTCTTCATATTTGGAATCAAGAGTAAATTTTAGGGGGGCTGCAACAATGTAAGGAATGAAACAGACAGAAAACAATAACAAAATGTACACCATGGTAGCCACAGATTTCTTGTTCTTTGAAAAGTCTATGGTGGGTTGACCAAAATTCTGAGACCCCCAATGGGCACGAATTTGTTGTTGGTGATGGCGTAGAATACGGTAAACTTTGAAATAGCTGAATAATGTCACAAGAAAACAACACGACATCTCTACGGCTGTAGTTACGGCAAACACATATTCATACGCCGGATCTTTATGGTTAGCTAACACGCGAATAACAGTTGCTGGAATTGGGAGAAAAAACACCATGATAAGGAAGAAATATCTACGACGTGATGCATTAGATGATGTTTGAGACATATATAGCCATCGTTCAACGGACATCAACGTTATGATAATAAGTGTTACGGCAATGAAGTATGCGCTGCTGCTCTCGCCAATTGTACGAATGTTTATCGAATTTGTTAGACACGACGCAGCGAAGAAAGGTTGGACAAGAAGTCCTGTGAAAAAGTCAGTTAACGCCAATCCGCTTAAAAGAAAATGGAAAGAAGTACTGGTAAAAGTTCTTTTCCAAATGGTGGCCAAAATCAGTGCATTCGCAACCACAGCCGATGGTGATAAAACAGCAATGATGACTGATGTAGACAGATCAACTGCACTGAGGAAAGAAACCGGGTGTTCTCTGCTACAATCATCTGAACTAAAATTAGCCGACTTTTGGTATCGAGAAGTACAATTCTTGTTGTCTAACATGTTGTATTGCGGTGCTATGGTGCATGGAAAAGACCACCTCAAAACCTTTTCGCTGAAAGTACTTAGTTAATAAGATTTGTCAATTAGAGTTCACCTTACAAGTACTGGTAAGTTTTTGACATCGCCAAGCTGTTGTTAGATTCCGTGTAACTGTTCACTCAAAACGCATTATATGGGCCATCTTAGGGCCTTTTCCAAATGTCGTATGATAACCTATTTATCACCTGTGCTCAAACGTGTGTGCAGGTTTTCAATTACTTAAACTGCAGTGTCACGAGCCAAAAATATCCCCTGAGCTCATTGGAGAGTTTTATATCTATATCGCTCTCCAAGATAGGTTATACAGATGCTGTTTAGTTGCTTATGTCAAATTTGCGTCATCTAAAATCCATGACAAAAAGATAAAGCAAATTTTTATCAAGAGCCGCATGAGGGCGACAAGCAGTAATTAAGAAGCTCTAACTTCTGTCATAAAATTGCGAGGAAAGCGTTATTTTTTGGAGAGTTCTTCGGATTAATTTAGAGCAAAAAGCGCTCTTCGTAATGGCTTAACCAACAGATACAAATTAAACAATTACTTCTGTTTGTGTCTTTGTGCTACTCTTTAAATTAAACGTTATTAAAAGGTGCACTCCAAAATTTGTTGTTGTGAAGATTTTCTCCGAAGGATCCTTTCTTTATTTCAGTTAATGTGCGGCCCCAACTAAAGGTTTGTCTTTTTACATTCGCGGACAAGTCAAGTCGATGATAAATCTTGATGATAGAAAAACCTGCTGTTTAATACTTGATAATATTTGTGTTTTTATTGGAGGGTCTCAATGGGGCGGTTGCTTTTATGGTTTGAGGTTATCGGTTATAATTTTGGCCATTTGTTGTTGTTACAAGAAATTTTCTTTACGGTTAACTTTTTATGACGACTATCGGTTACAGTTGGTTAATGTTTACGCCTGACGGCTAAATTTTTTGGCGGTTTTACGGATATCAGTTAACCCCGTTGAGAACCTCCTATTAACTTTTAGGTTAAGTGCTGATTATAAACAAAAAAATAAAGCTGCCTGAACTAAAGTTAGATAACTGAGGCCACTGAATCTTTAAAATGATGTTAAAATACATTTTTCAGAAGACACCAAAACATGGTTGTAACGTGTTTTTGCAAGGCATGATTGTGAAGTGTACTCGCAATGCATGACTGTCAAGCGCCCTAAACGTAGGACGGTTTATTAGGCACGATTGCAAAGTAGCGTTAAAGTAAGTGACTGTAATTGACGATGCGCAATAAACAATGAGCTATATTGACACATCGCCATAGGGGAGGCTTACGTGATAATTACAATTAAAATTAACAACTTTGTGACTAAAGTAATTTCAAAATCAATCGACAGTTTAAATGTTTTCTTTTCCCTTAAACTCTGGTATATTGAAGCTGTAAAGGCAGTCGCTGAGCCACCCTACACTCAACACAGCGGCGCAACTCAAGTGGTTGGGAGTTCACCGCCATAACTGCAAGAACTGCTCCAGGAGCTGACCTCTAAATCTGTGCTTAAAACCTACGACTGACTTACGAAGGTTAACGAAATCGCCTAACTAGTTCGATAAGGAAACAATTCTTTAATCAAATTGATTTGATTTGATCTGCCCAGCCAGAATCGGTTTTAAAAAGTGGAATATTTGGAAGCCGAGATCCATGGGTTGTCCCAGAGTTATCTCACTTCTTAAGCGTCCTCAAATGCCTGGTTACAAAGTTTTACTGTACCTTAGTTGAATGAGTAATAATGAAATGTCCTTATATTGGACTGTTGGGGAAGAGTAGTTCGAAAACCACGCGCATGTGCAAACGGGAGGCGCCTCGTGTCTGATCAGGAACAGTTTTTTTTCACTCTCTGAGACTCTGTCTCTTTCTTCTCTAAAATTCAGCCCTAAGTATACGCTCTTAACCCTTTCATTCCCAAGATATCAAAAGTAATTCTCACAGTCTTACATACAATTCTCAAGATGTTGGTTCGGAGAATTTGGTATTGGATCAATTAATAATCCTGTTATTGGTATTTTTTCTTCATTCTCCTTACTAGTTCGCTTGACAATATTGCTATTGTAAAGAGAAATTCTGTCTTGTTCACAGTTATGGGAGTTAAAGGGTAATTAAATGCCGTATGTAGGCATGTTTGGACTTACGGGACAACTGACCTTGGAAGAGTTCACATATTTTTAGAACGTTAACCAAAACAATCTCACGTAGCATTCGAAATGAAAAACAAAATACTTGAAAAACAAGCAATCTTCGAGGACTAAAACCTAGACAAAAGTTCCCGTTGAGGACTCTAAGAAAGATCAAGGACAAACCCAAACACGACAAGCGATGACGATTATCGTACTAGAATTAAGCCATTATACAAAGGTGAAGGACACATCATTCAAAGGGTAAAAATAAATGTATGGTCTTGCTACTCATAACAAACCAAGGCTCGCAAGACTAGCATCAGGATTTCAAAATAATCCAACAGGCCTAAACAATTCCCAAGAATTTTGCCCAACCGTGTGTTTACGAGTTACGGTAACTCGTGAACACACGGTTGGGCATCCCTCTGCGATTGAGGGCCAGACTGCTAATATCTTGTCTCCGTGAACGGGACTTTGAGCGCGATGCCCTATGAGTTCGCTATAAATTTACGAAAGGTATCTGATGATTCTCTTGGCCGCGACGAAACGCCGCATCATGTCAGCCACGAATTTTTCACAAGTAAGTGGTTCATAACACTGAAATGCACAATTGAAAAGAATCCGCACAATGCACAAG